GATAACTTCTAATACCCGAAGACGCGCCAGGTGAATATCCACAGCATCAACATCAATCAACTTTAACACTAGAGTACACGACTGAAAAATCCTTAAGAACTCGCTCCTTACCTCGGTAAGAAAACACACCTGCGACACTTTTATACAAGTGAGGCACGAGTTTTGCAGCCCCTCTTTGCAATAGTACAGTATCAAGTAGTAAAGTAAGTAGATACCTATAGTGCCAAATACTGAAACGATTGCGAAGAAGTGTTGTGCTTGTGCTCTGCAACTCACTGTATCTAAAAAATGATCGCATTTGAACTAGAGCTAACTTCTCCGCCTCTTCTTCATTATTCATTTACCTAGCACGAGGTTAAGGTCCGACTTAATTAGTTGCAGGCACTTCTTATAGCTCATTTTTTCACCTTTTTACTGCACTTCTCCTTGTGTTTTTTATATAAGTCTAAGGAAAAGGATGGCATATCTTTCCCCAGGAGAACTACCAGGTCGATCAGTCTTCTACCTCTCGTCCTCTTCCAAAGTCTGCTTCGTTCTTTTCTTCCAACTTCGACTTCCTATCTTTTATGTTGACATTAGAGGCACTAACGCCCCATCTTTTAGAACATCAAGGATGTATCTCTTTCTGCTCAGTTGACAATGAATGCGTGTCTCTTTTATTCTTTGCCCCCGCTTTAGGATGGACAAGCAGAAGAAGTTGATGGCGTAAAAAGTGGAAGGTTGGCGCTATCCTTAATGCTAGCTGCTCGCTCAGATTTCAGATTTGAGGGGTCTCGCAACGTCTTTTTTTGTATCCTGGCGCTGCTAGAAGAGTGGCCTCAGTGCTATCCAAGTCGCAAACTGGCGGCGGGTGGAGTACATTCGCCTCCTTATACCACGCACAAGAAAACTCCTCTACGAATTTTCGCTGGGCTCGATCCTGAGCTTCCATCAATGCTTGCATCTGCCGACTGGGTCCCGCATTCACGGCAGCTCCCGCTACGATTAGAAGCTCCTGCGCACTCTAGTTCTTGTAGAACAATAACTTGTACCACTCTTTTTATTTGACGACGATGAAAACGCTGCTGAATGGTTCTGGCATTTGGTAATCTGATTTTGATCATGAGGAAAACAAGAAGAGAATCCTCGTGATCCACTTCAAGTTACCAAATTATACCAGAAGCATACAAAGCACGCTAATCCATATTATATAGAAGGCATGAAGAAGCACGACTCGCACTTTTGTACTTCATCATCATCTTCATCTTCTACACCTATTATCACTACAAAGAAAAGGAAAGTTGAAGGATCACAACATTTGACTATGAACGAGGCGATCCATCAAACCTCTAACAGTTAGAAGCTGACAACATTTGACTATGAACGAGGCGATCCATCAAACCTCTAACAGTTAGAAGCTGACAACATTTGACTATGAACGAGGCGATCCATGAAACAACCTCTGTAACTACCTGCAGAAGAACAAGCCTTAAAATAGCGGGATGCTGGAAATCTCCACTCGCTGAAGAAGAGGAATCCAAGAGACCGTGTCGTGGACTCAACGAGGAAAAGGGCAAGCATCTTTCTGGACCGTTGTGTGCTGGTGATGTTGTTGTATATTTTGGAGAAGAAGGAAATAAACCGCGCGAAGGGGACTTATCTTCCGTGTACACTCTGGCAGAGATGAAAGACGACTGCTTCTCTCCTTGTTGTAGTACGACTCCTGCCTCTTCCAGTTGTACGACTGGAGATTTTTGGGACTCCTCTAGTTGTGCGGCTGGTTGCGCTCCTTTGGGTTTCTCTTGCTCGTCAGGAACATCAACAACATCCTGTACGTCAACATCTTGCACGCCCACCTCCGCAGAAGGTGGAGGACACGGTGGAGCGTGACCAAGAGGAGACAGACGAGACCCAGTCGAGCCCAACGACGGGCCCCCATCTCCGTACAAATTAGACCTGAAGATGGCAATACTCAACATCCCGAAGGGCATGATCTTGGTAGTCGTTATAATATAAAAAAGTTGTAACCCAGATCAAAGTAAGTCATCTTTTGATTGAGGCGAATATGAGTAAGCCTTAAAAAAAACCGGTTGTCCGGAGATAGCAGCAGCTTCAGCGAATGTCATCTGAGAGAAGTTCCCATGTGGCTGACGGATAAGGACCTTAGCTCCTTGACTACTAAGATCTGTGTTAGACTTTTAACACCAGATGGAGATCATAACGAAACTAGACAAAACTTCTGAAGAAACTCCTTCATCTTGACTGTAGCACAGGAGCGACTCTTGCTTTTATTCATCCGCATCTACTTGGTACCTATCTACTTGGTTCCCGCATGATCTATACTTGGCTTAACGGAAAAAGCCCGTTGTACTTAACACACGTTGTGTTGTAGAAGTTGTGTTGTACTTAACGGAAAAAAAAAGCTGACCATAACTGTGGTGGCAAATACCGCTGCAGAGTAATCTTGTCTCCCCCAGGACTTGGCATCCGGATGATCTTGGGACGAATTTCGTGCACCAAGAAGATGTTGCTCCAAAAAGCTCATAGAATGGACAGTCATTAGAGCTGCTCCTCACAACACATGATGAGTTCTTCATTAAGTAATCCAATAGACGAGCACAAAGCAGACCCACCCCGAAAACAAACCAGTGAGGAAGGAAAACAAACCAGTAAGAGCCCGCCGGGGCTGGAACCTAGTAGCGGGGGAGCCGCTGTAGCCTGCCCACTGTCTCCAACCGAGAAAGCAACTGCCACCAAGGAGCCCGACCGCGCTACGCCGCTACCCGCGTCACCCGCTACCCACATGCGCCGCCTCCTGCATAGCCCGGCACGTCCTAGTTGGCCGCGACGAAGAGGCAACGCGCGACCAGCAAGGCTAGGGCTAGACGCAACATAGTCGCAACAGTGACCATAGCACAAAACACACGAAGCACAAAGAAGCCCGGCGAGATCGTACGCGGTGCTTGCCCGGGGCGCATCAATACAAACAAATAAAATTATTCCAATAAATTAAGTAAACTCAAGTTGTTTTCAATGAATTCTCAAAGAAAAAGGAAAGAAAGTATTGACAGAGATGATTCATGTTTTTCTGTGGAGAGGGTGGAGATGACATTCATTTTTTACCTCTCTGATGATCGAGGGCTCCCTTCATCTGATGAATTTGTGTCGTGAGCCTTAATAAATTAGGAGGAGACGGAGTGGTGGTAGGCTGCTGCACGCCAGGCATAGAAAAAGAAGTGCCAGATCCTACCCCACCCAGTAGAATTTGCTGACAGTCCTGATTGAAAAGCTGAGCCTCTCGCTCACGCGTCATCTTCCACTCCTGGTCTTCTCCTTGCTTCAATTCTTGATTCTTTTTGTTCAAAAAGGATGTGCGTTTAGACGTTGTAGCAGAAGCCTCCTCATTGTTCTCTTCATCAACGAGCACCTCCTGTGCCGCTTTGCGTAATGCCGATCTCTCCTCCGGAGTGAGATACTCCGATATCTGCAGCATTTGCGGGACTAGTGCCCCATTGAAGAAAGGTTCAAGGCGGTTTCTGTCTGCCCTCTTCTGGTGATGAACAACAGTCGAAGGATGTAGTTCTGCCTCATCAGGCCACGCAGCACCTCTACCTTGCTTACGTGCAAGAAAAGAAGATGAAGGCATCGATATTGATATCGATTTTTTTTTTGACTTACTGACATCGATATGAGCGTCGATTGGGTGTTGATGTGCTTGTTGTCGACCGATTGTCCCATGATGATCTTGTCCGACTCCAAAGATAGCAGCATGGTGATCGCTTTCGCTCTCGTCATCATGACCAAGGATTCGTGTGTTCACTCGGTCCCCTTTATTTAGAGGCTCAGTGACACTTCTCCAGTCTTTATCGTCCTTGCTTTCTTTTTCGCTCCAAGAAAACAAGTTTCTCTGGTTCTGTTTGTTCGTCTCATCTTCAAACTTAGGTAGATGCAGGGGCAAATCCATGTTGAAAGGACCAGGAGCAGGACGACGAGGACGAGGACGAGGTGCCGCGTCAAATTAGAACCCAAAAAAATTATTGACTCACTCCTTGCCTGAGCCTGCACTTCTCGTCGAAGAAGAAAACAAAGAGAACAAGTCAGCACTTCTTTCTCTTTGTTGTATTTTTCTTCTCTTAGGAAGATAGTACTATTACTATAGCGAAACGTTTAGAAAATCAATCCTAGGAAGAAAACAAGAAAGAGAAACGACCCTTGGATGGATGCATTAAAAAATTGTGTTGAGCCTTAATCGATGATATCGGTACCGCGATAGGTAGGCTCCGGCGACTCGAACCTTCCAGCCGCTGCATAGACTCCAATTACTAAGTCCTTGGTGATTCCGCCAGGCGAGGACACGGCCAGCATGTTGGCCAGCACACGCGTAAAATATTTTACGCGCACACGCCTACTCAAGCGCACACGCGTACCTCTGACGCTTCTTCTGTTGGGGATGTCCATCTTCCGCACTTTTCTTGTTGTAGTTCAAGTTTTCAAGTTCGCGGTAGTACTTGTGGTTGTGTAGTCACAAGAAGAAGTCGATATTTTACGAAGAAGATGATGATACTCTAAGAAGTTGATAGTCTAAGAATAGAGATTTAAGAAGAACAGGGGTTGTTGATGTTCATGTAACGATGGATAGTTCCATAATAGTCCAATAGAGCTAAAATTTGTGATGGATAGTTCCATAATAGTCCATGTCCAATAGAGCTAGTGGTCGTCAATATTATAAAGGATTGGGTCTACAAGCACGGTCTACAAGCACAGTCTACAAACACGGTCTACAAGCACGGTCTACAAGCACAGTCTACAAACACGGTCTACAAGCACGGTCTACAAGCACGGTCTACAAGCACGGTCTACAAGCACAGTCTACAAGCACGGTCAACAAGGACAGTCTACAAGCACGGTCAACAAACTACACGGTCAACATTCATTGTAAGTGATGTAACGTGGCAAATCTTATAACGAAGTTGAGTTCTCGATTCTTAGCACTTGGTATTGCTTCTCACTCTATTTTCTTATATGTGAATATGAGCTACAATGTCAGTTCAGTCCAATGGGGATCTCGCCACCGTATTCGCCTGGGGCCTCAGACCAAATCAGACTTGGGGAAAGTGAAAGATCTCTATCGCTACGATTGATTAATGTTAATGCAGGTCTTTGTAGTACTTACTATGATCATACAAAGATACACTGTGGTCCCCTCGCATTAGCAAATGCACCTTATTCCTACATCGAAGCACTAGGTAACGACGCGGTAGTGAGTCACTATACAACTGGAGAATAATTATAACGAGCAATGAATGTTGTAGAGATTATTGAGGTCGAAAAATACGAGATGAAATAGTGAAATTCTATGGAAGAACAGGACAAATAGTATAACAGACACAGAGACACCTTTGATTGTTCAATATCTTTGACCATTGAAGAAAAAGCGAACAGTAATAACTGGTAATATTAGGCAAAGATAAAGATGGATCCAGCTGATTCAGTTGATGTACAATCGATAGAAGTTTCACTTCCGTTCAGTTTTTGAATTTCTCGGAGCACAAACCGGCGAAGATATAGTTGGCTATATCAATAAAGTATCTTCATCTAGAAGCTGTTTATCGGTGTTGTATCATGAATATCTGACTATTACATGCCCATAACAAGTACAGACTTTTTCATTCATGATGCACCCGAAACGAAACCACATGAAGAATTATCTGTGATGTTTTTATACTAGCATAGAAACGTTGCAAATGTGATCTACGTGTTGATCTGCTGTCAGTACAAAAATCAAATCTTTTCTTCTGGTTACCAGCGATAACCGAGTTGAAAAAGATCTTCTATATGTTCTTATCAGCTTCACCTTCTTGGTCACTGAGGAATTTATTACAGGGAAGAAGATAGGGTTTTTCGAAGGGTAAGAATGATCAGCTTTGCTTTTGAGAAAGTTTTTCAACAGAGCAGAAACCTGTTCTCAAATTATGAGAGCAGAAGAGGTGGATGAATTACATTCGTTCATTCATTCATTCGTTGAGCACTAAGCAGCCGGACCATGACCGCAGAATGTTCACCACATCGTGGTTTAGGAAAAGTCCGACAAAAATTCACGACCACATCATTCGTTTTTCCACACATGATCATCGGCTTTCTCATCGGAAATCCGATTGTGCCTCCCGTTCTTGTTGGACGAGTCCTCACATTTCATTGACTCAGACTAAGTATACAGAGTAGAGTACTCAGATTCAGAGTCACGAGTATACTTCTTTCACAAGGCAAATGCTCTTCTATTGGCTGCTGTCGAGGACGTTGCAGAAATCTATTCAGAACTCTTTTTTGAACTTATCATCCGACGATTTTCGGCAAGAAGTCGCTTTCTTCACAAATTCAGAAATTGAACTACGTAGTTACATCCAACCTAAGGATGATGCACAACATTGGCATTGATGCAAAAAGAACAAAATTTCAAGAAGATCTTCATGCAGAGATGAAGATGATCACAACAAACCAAACTCGGAAAACGTTAAGACCTACGGCATTGGAAAACGCCTACAGCTCCCGTGCGAGGTGATTTAGAAGATGTAGCGGCCCCAATTCATTCATCATAGGCTCGATAAGGATAATGGTTCTATCCTTGTCAGTTATATGGTCCTAATGTCCTTATTCATTCATTATAAATATGGTTCTTCCTTGTCAGTTATTTTCCGTTAGAAATCAGACCAAGGACATCCTCTAACTCCCAAGTCTCAACAAGAACACACACGAACTGCCGCTTTCCGCTAGATGGAACCCGAGCTAGGTAGACAAGACGCTGCTCTGATCCAAGGCCTACTAGACAAGTTGGATACGATCCAACCGAGAGTGATAATGGATCAGATCTAACCTGCTAAAGTAAGGTAATGTCTCCTAACCTAAAGTAAGTAACTAATCCAGTGACAGCAGCGGCACTATCAATACATGAATCATAGTTCGTCCTTCGATTCTTCTTTCGAACTACCTTTCCCTTTATAATATCAAAAATGAACAAATGACTTACCTTTCCCTTTAAAATATTAAAAATCAAATGTGGAGGTTTATAGAGCAGCCGTGCCTTAACAGATGGTATGGACACGAGCCCCCTCCGCCTACGGAAGAAAAGTAAGCGCGATACCAAAGCTGGAAAAAAAATCTTGGACACCAATGGTTCAATGGCATGCTGGCTGTTGTTCTTGTTGTGCTGCTTGCCTGTATTCGTTCTTAAAGAGGTTTTGAGAATATTTCAAATCAAATCGAATGCGTGTTGATTTATTTCTGGGCATGTTCTTGAGGCCCTCTGCTACTTCTATCAAGAACATGTCTATCTCTATATCCTGCTCTAGTTCTTCTAAAACTTGATATATGATAAAGTCCTGCCATAAAATCCATCCTTCGCCACGTCATCTTCCCATTGCATCGAAGCAGGTCTTCCCACTTGCGGCACATGTTCCAATGGGTACAATGGATATGGTCTATTCCACAGTCGTGCTCGCAAACGATCCCTAAAAGCCATAAAGGCATCCAACCCGCAAGCTTTCGCAGTGACTGTTGCAAGGAAGCCAAGGTCTTTGGCGAACAATAGGGCGTGGTTTGCGAGAAGGGAGGAGTTGGTTTAGAAGGAGGCACACCAGGTGCGAGGAGGGGATAGACAATACAATTCATCTTTAGAATCATAAAAATATCATTTAAGTCCTTGAGCGAAGGACAGTACGTGTGAGTCGTACCAATATTAGAAATTGAAATAGTGAGTTGTAGGTCCATAAAACTGATAATTCTGCCCAGGCCAATCGAACGTCATTGTCCTCGGACATGCGCTGCACCAGATGTTTTGATGTGGTTGTAAGAATTAGTGCTAGTATTATACTTACTTCTATCCCTAGCTGCGTAGTCGCCCTTTTGCGCCTTTTTTTCCACTNCGCATCTACTTGGTACCTATCTACTTGGTTCCCGCATGATCTATACTTGGCTTAACGGAAAAAGCCCGTTGTACTTAACACACGTTGTGTTGTAGAAGTTGTGTTGTACTTAACGGAAAAAAAAAGCTGACCATAACTGTGGTGGCAAATACCGCTGCAGAGTAATCTTGTCTCCCCCAGGACTTGGCATCCGGATGATCTTGGGACGAATTTCGTGCACCAAGAAGATGTTGCTCCAAAAAGCTCATAGAATGGACAGTCATTAGAGCTGCTCCTCACAACACATGATGAGTTCTTCATTAAGTAATCCAATAGACGAGCACAAAGCAGACCCACCCCGAAAACAAACCAGTGAGGAAGGAAAACAAACCAGTAAGAGCCCGCCGGGGCTGGAACCTAGTAGCGGGGGAGCCGCTGTAGCCTGCCCACTGTCTCCAACCGAGAAAGCAACTGCCACCAAGGAGCCCGACCGCGCTACGCCGCTACCCGCGTCACCCGCTACCCACATGCGCCGCCTCCTGCATAGCCCGGCACGTCCTAGTTGGCCGCGACGAAGAGGCAACGCGCGACCAGCAAGGCTAGGGCTAGACGCAACATAGTCGCAACAGTGACCATAGCACAAAACACACGAAGCACAAAGAAGCCCGGCGAGATCGTACGCGGTGCTTGCCCGGGGCGCATCAATACAAACAAATAAAATTATTCCAATAAATTAAGTAAACTCAAGTTGTTTTCAATGAATTCTCAAAGAAAAAGGAAAGAAAGTATTGACAGAGATGATTCATGTTTTTCTGTGGAGAGGGTGGAGATGACATTCATTTTTTACCTCTCTGATGATCGAGGGCTCCCTTCATCTGATGAATTTGTGTCGTGAGCCTTAATAAATTAGGAGGAGACGGAGTGGTGGTAGGCTGCTGCACGCCAGGCATAGAAAAAGAAGTGCCAGATCCTACCCCACCCAGTAGAATTTGCTGACAGTCCTGATTGAAAAGCTGAGCCTCTCGCTCACGCGTCATCTTCCACTCCTGGTCTTCTCCTTGCTTCAATTCTTGATTCTTTTTGTTCAAAAAGGATGTGCGTTTAGACGTTGTAGCAGAAGCCTCCTCATTGTTCTCTTCATCAACGAGCACCTCCTGTGCCGCTTTGCGTAATGCCGATCTCTCCTCCGGAGTGAGATACTCCGATATCTGCAGCATTTGCGGGACTAGTGCCCCATTGAAGAAAGGTTCAAGGCGGTTTCTGTCTGCCCTCTTCTGGTGATGAACAACAGTCGAAGGATGTAGTTCTGCCTCATCAGGCCACGCAGCACCTCTACCTTGCTTACGTGCAAGAAAAGAAGATGAAGGCATCGATATTGATATCGATTTTTTTTTTGACTTACTGACATCGATATGAGCGTCGATTGGGTGTTGATGTGCTTGTTGTCGACCGATTGTCCCATGATGATCTTGTCCGACTCCAAAGATAGCAGCATGGTGATCGCTTTCGCTCTCGTCATCATGACCAAGGATTCGTGTGTTCACTCGGTCCCCTTTATTTAGAGGCTCAGTGACACTTCTCCAGTCTTTATCGTCCTTGCTTTCTTTTTCGCTCCAAGAAAACAAGTTTCTCTGGTTCTGTTTGTTCGTCTCATCTTCAAACTTAGGTAGATGCAGGGGCAAATCCATGTTGAAAGGACCAGGAGCAGGACGACGAGGACGAGGACGAGGTGCCGCGTCAAATTAGAACCCAAAAAAATTATTGACTCACTCCTTGCCTGAGCCTGCACTTCTCGTCGAAGAAGAAAACAAAGAGAACAAGTCAGCACTTCTTTCTCTTTGTTGTATTTTTCTTCTCTTAGGAAGATAGTACTATTACTATAGCGAAACGTTTAGAAAATCAATCCTAGGAAGAAAACAAGAAAGAGAAACGACCCTTGGATGGATGCATTAAAAAATTGTGTTGAGCCTTAATCGATGATATCGGTACCGCGATAGGTAGGCTCCGGCGACTCGAACCTTCCAGCCGCTGCATAGACTCCAATTACTAAGTCCTTGGTGATTCCGCCAGGCGAGGACACGGCCAGCATGTTGGCCAGCACACGCGTAAAATATTTTACGCGCACACGCCTACTCAAGCGCACACGCGTACCTCTGACGCTTCTTCTGTTGGGGATGTCCATCTTCCGCACTTTTCTTGTTGTAGTTCAAGTTTTCAAGTTCGCGGTAGTACTTGTGGTTGTGTAGTCACAAGAAGAAGTCGATATTTTACGAAGAAGATGATGATACTCTAAGAAGTTGATAGTCTAAGAATAGAGATTTAAGAAGAACAGGGGTTGTTGATGTTCATGTAACGATGGATAGTTCCATAATAGTCCAATAGAGCTAAAATTTGTGATGGATAGTTCCATAATAGTCCATGTCCAATAGAGCTAGTGGTCGTCAATATTATAAAGGATTGGGTCTACAAGCACGGTCTACAAGCACAGTCTACAAACACGGTCTACAAGCACGGTCTACAAGCACAGTCTACAAACACGGTCTACAAGCACGGTCTACAAGCACGGTCTACAAGCACGGTCTACAAGCACAGTCTACAAGCACGGTCAACAAGGACAGTCTACAAGCACGGTCAACAAACTACACGGTCAACATTCATTGTAAGTGATGTAACGTGGCAAATCTTATAACGAAGTTGAGTTCTCGATTCTTAGCACTTGGTATTGCTTCTCACTCTATTTTCTTATATGTGAATATGAGCTACAATGTCAGTTCAGTCCAATGGGGATCTCGCCACCGTATTCGCCTGGGGCCTCAGACCAAATCAGACTTGGGGAAAGTGAAAGATCTCTATCGCTACGATTGATTAATGTTAATGCAGGTCTTTGTAGTACTTACTATGATCATACAAAGATACACTGTGGTCCCCTCGCATTAGCAAATGCACCTTATTCCTACATCGAAGCACTAGGTAACGACGCGGTAGTGAGTCACTATACAACTGGAGAATAATTATAACGAGCAATGAATGTTGTAGAGATTATTGAGGTCGAAAAATACGAGATGAAATAGTGAAATTCTATGGAAGAACAGGACAAATAGTATAACAGACACAGAGACACCTTTGATTGTTCAATATCTTTGACCATTGAAGAAAAAGCGAACAGTAATAACTGGTAATATTAGGCAAAGATAAAGATGGATCCAGCTGATTCAGTTGATGTACAATCGATAGAAGTTTCACTTCCGTTCAGTTTTTGAATTTCTCGGAGCACAAACCGGCGAAGATATAGTTGGCTATATCAATAAAGTATCTTCATCTAGAAGCTGTTTATCGGTGTTGTATCATGAATATCTGACTATTACATGCCCATAACAAGTACAGACTTTTTCATTCATGATGCACCCGAAACGAAACCACATGAAGAATTATCTGTGATGTTTTTATACTAGCATAGAAACGTTGCAAATGTGATCTACGTGTTGATCTGCTGTCAGTACAAAAATCAAATCTTTTCTTCTGGTTACCAGCGATAACCGAGTTGAAAAAGATCTTCTATATGTTCTTATCAGCTTCACCTTCTTGGTCACTGAGGAATTTATTACAGGGAAGAAGATAGGGTTTTTCGAAGGGTAAGAATGATCAGCTTTGCTTTTGAGAAAGTTTTTCAACAGAGCAGAAACCTGTTCTCAAATTATGAGAGCAGAAGAGGTGGATGAATTACATTCGTTCATTCATTCATTCGTTGAGCACTAAGCAGCCGGACCATGACCGCAGAATGTTCACCACATCGTGGTTTAGGAAAAGTCCGACAAAAATTCACGACCACATCATTCGTTTTTCCACACATGATCATCGGCTTTCTCATCGGAAATCCGATTGTGCCTCCCGTTCTTGTTGGACGAGTCCTCACATTTCATTGACTCAGACTAAGTATACAGAGTAGAGTACTCAGATTCAGAGTCACGAGTATACTTCTTTCACAAGGCAAATGCTCTTCTATTGGCTGCTGTCGAGGACGTTGCAGAAATCTATTCAGAACTCTTTTTTGAACTTATCATCCGACGATTTTCGGCAAGAAGTCGCTTTCTTCACAAATTCAGAAATTGAACTACGTAGTTACATCCAACCTAAGGATGATGCACAACATTGGCATTGATGCAAAAAGAACAAAATTTCAAGAAGATCTTCATGCAGAGATGAAGATGATCACAACAAACCAAACTCGGAAAACGTTAAGACCTACGGCATTGGAAAACGCCTACAGCTCCCGTGCGAGGTGATTTAGAAGATGTAGCGGCCCCAATTCATTCATCATAGGCTCGATAAGGATAATGGTTCTATCCTTGTCAGTTATATGGTCCTAATGTCCTTATTCATTCATTATAAATATGGTTCTTCCTTGTCAGTTATTTTCCGTTAGAAATCAGACCAAGGACATCCTCTAACTCCCAAGTCTCAACAAGAACACACACGAACTGCCGCTTTCCGCTAGATGGAACCCGAGCTAGGTAGACAAGACGCTGCTCTGATCCAAGGCCTACTAGACAAGTTGGATACGATCCAACCGAGAGTGATAATGGATCAGATCTAACCTGCTAAAGTAAGGTAATGTCTCCTAACCTAAAGTAAGTAACTAATCCAGTGACAGCAGCGGCACTATCAATACATGAATCATAGTTCGTCCTTCGATTCTTCTTTCGAACTACCTTTCCCTTTATAATATCAAAAATGAACAAATGACTTACCTTTCCCTTTAAAATATTAAAAATCAAATGTGGAGGTTTATAGAGCAGCCGTGCCTTAACAGATGGTATGGACACGAGCCCCCTCCGCCTACGGAAGAAAAGTAAGCGCGATACCAAAGCTGGAAAAAAAATCTTGGACACCAATGGTTCAATGGCATGCTGGCTGTTGTTCTTGTTGTGCTGCTTGCCTGTATTCGTTCTTAAAGAGGTTTTGAGAATATTTCAAATCAAATCGAATGCGTGTTGATTTATTTCTGGGCATGTTCTTGAGGCCCTCTGCTACTTCTATCAAGAACATGTCTATCTCTATATCCTGCTCTAGTTCTTCTAAAACTTGATATATGATAAAGTCCTGCCATAAAATCCATCCTTCGCCACGTCATCTTCCCATTGCATCGAAGCAGGTCTTCCCACTTGCGGCACATGTTCCAATGGGTACAATGGATATGGTCTATTCCACAGTCGTGCTCGCAAACGATCCCTAAAAGCCATAAAGGCATCCAACCCGCAAGCTTTCGCAGTGACTGTTGCAAGGAAGCCAAGGTCTTTGGCGAACAATAGGGCGTGGTTTGCGAGAAGGGAGGAGTTGGTTTAGAAGGAGGCACACCAGGTGCGAGGAGGGGATAGACAATACAATTCATCTTTAGAATCATAAAAATATCATTTAAGTCCTTGAGCGAAGGACAGTACGTGTGAGTCGTACCAATATTAGAAATTGAAATAGTGAGTTGTAGGTCCATAAAACTGATAATTCTGCCCAGGCCAATCGAACGTCATTGTCCTCGGACATGCGCTGCACCAGATGTTTTGATGTGGTTGTAAGAATTAGTGCTAGTATTATACTTACTTCTATCCCTAGCTGCGTAGTCGCCCTTTTGCGCCTTTTTTTCCACTAAAGATCAAGGAGCACAACTTCAATCAGCATAGTCCATATATGCGATAGTGAAAAACTAGCCATAAAAGATGCCGCTTTTGGTCATTGCGTCATACATCCTGCGTTCCCTAAATCTCTGCATCACACTCCCCTTTGCCACAACGGCACCTGTCGCCTCCTCCACAAAGTACTCCTCTCTCCGTCCTCTGGCAAGAGGGTCATCGATATCAATAATCTCTGCGGTGTAGAAAGGTGCGAGTGAGCCACGAAGTTGTTGTTCGAGCGTTGTAGTGGAACCGTTGCGGTCGTGAAGTGCTGTGCTTTTGGTACTGGCTGCAATCATGATTAGAGGGGATGGAGGCAATTATGTTGTTTGGCTTTGGTTTCAACTGCGGTATAATATGGGTCGTGGAGCAGCCATCAATCTAACAAACTCGGAAAAGTAAAAAAAGAAATGAATAATTAAAAGAGTTATAATGGTCAAAAGATTTCGGAGAGGTTTTTCGAGGGATTATCGGGGGGAGAAGGGGGGGTCCTAGGGGGGGGGGT